ATTGTACGTAAGACCTGATCAATGACCATGGACGACACCATCATCCGCCACGGGATTCTCAACATTTCCCAACTACTCAATGACCGGAACTCGTTCCAGTTGAAAGGGCTTCTTCCCCAAATCTTCAGGGTGAGCGGGCTAAGAGGATTAAGGAGGGAATCCAAGTGTTGCTTGTCTTTGACGTTCATGCCTACAGCCTTTAGTGGATCAACAGTAAGCTGGTCAAAGCACAAACAAACACATTCGAAGCTTTCCTATATATAGCATCGTCCAAATCCGAAAAGCTTTTCCAAACTCACTCGTTGTTGGGCATCTGTTGCACATTCATTATGGCACATTCACCTTTATCATGGGGTACACCAGTGGGGCTGTTTCTTCTTGTTGTCTCCTTCGGATCTGCTAACGTACTCTCCAACTCCATGCCGCCAGCATCAGCAGTTCCCAAGCGTCGGGTGGGAACTGCTTCAACCGACCCACCCGACGAGTCGCGCGGACCTGGCCGCGCGAGTCTCGCGGCTCCGGATACTGTACTTGAGTGGCCGCGCGTTCCGATAGCAGTCGTAGTTCCGGGCCCAGATGTCCAAGTCCGCTGGCTGTTCCTCCTGTGACGGTGACGGGCCGACCAAACTAGTTTTCGTGAAGGGGCTGGTGCACTACCCTGATAGACCCGAAGAATTGCAAAAACAACAACAACCACCCTGGTCGTGTACAGTGAATGGGTGAGAACATCTTATGCTTGAGGAAATCACTAAAGAAACAAACATTGTTTACCATTGTTTACCAAACCTCTAGCATCGGCGATTTCCACATCTCTCTGTTCGCATTTGGGAAAGCAGCTCGCTGCTCGCGCCAGATCCCGCATCCCCTCCGTTTACCCCTCTGGTCTGGGGTCTGAAGCTGGGGGCCCCGGACCCATTCCAAGACTGCGCGCATGTCCCACTCAATGCTCTTTGGGTTGCCGATGATGAAACAGCCTGAAGCTGGTGGCCCTGGTGGCGGTGTCAACTATTTTAGCGTTTTTATTGGTTGGAATACCATGCTGCGGAAGACCACCTAGGGATGGATTGCCTTGCTTGTGTTCCGGTTCTGCGCTGTCAATCTGCATGTGTTCCTTTTCAGCTCAAAAACAGGAACTTTCTATATACTGAAGACTGGCAATTATGGGCTATTATGGGCTATGACCGTAATAGCCTCTGTGTCCAACATCCAAGGTAGCATATATTAGCAACCATTCAACATTCAACCTCTTCATGCGTGGAGGTCGTACGTCTCAAACTCTGTCTCCAGTGACTCTGACTCGCAACAGTGGCCGGACAGTTATCCCAGTCATCGGGACTGCCTTCGGGATAAAGCTTGCCACCCTCAAGTTCTTCGGACATGGCGAAATGGAACTCGCACTTGGTCTCATCCTACACGTGTCATCCAGGCAGCTGGTCTTTTTGGCGGCTCAATCACATTGGTGAACCCCAAGAGCCAAAAGTGAGTCTTCATTTAAATCGGCATGCTCTTGGAACCTCGTGAAACCCAAAGATTTCACCGAAACCAAAGTCGGCTGCAAAAGGAAACGCATGCAAATCTGGAGTGAAGGTCAAGGGTGGAGGTCCATAGCCTCGAGGTAAACGCAGTACTCAGTCACAAAGGCCAAGAAAGGTTGGGATACAACAAATTGCTGCTCACCGATACGTAATCGGATATTTTTCTCATCGGCATCCTAAAACAAGCTGTCTACTCATGTCATAATTACGAGAAGACAAAAGTTATGACAATAGATCATATTTAACTATATTCTAATATATTACACTTACATAAGATTACATAAGTCATCATAAGCCAATTTTTTGTTGACAAAAGCTCGAGTGTCATAATTGGCGCAAGACTTTCGCAGTCTCCACTATCACCATCCCGTCCTGGCAGTTTTTCCCTCGATCCAGTTTCCGTTTGATGGTGGCATACCTGGCCCACCAGGCTGAATGCTGCGGTGCAGGGGTCCACTTTGAGGGAAGCGACATGTGCAATGTGCACTTCTTCCAAACAACACATAGTCCTCTGGATCCCCGCACAATGGCGAGGGGGATGTCTATTGCATGCAGCAGGACATGACATGTGCGACATGTCTCATAGTCTCATGTCTCCAGCCATGTCGACTTCAAACATCTCCAATGATCAATGGCAAAGAGTGTTCTCAAGAGAACACTAAGCGCGTCAACATACAGAGTCTGCAGAAGCAACACCGAGAACTGGCCTGTAAATAGGATACCACTAAGCTTGGCTGACTGTTTACTGTTTCACTTCGCAGTTCCTGCAACAATATTGGTAGTGTTCCCTTGACACAGCGATTTTGAGTCTATGTCCACAAACAGGTTTGTGGCATTTGGTTTTAGCTTTCTGAAAGGGATAGCAGTTGGCAAACCCTTATGTGTATGGAAACCAGAGCATTTATCCGACTTTTCGCTTCTCTTTGGTATGCAATGCTTGTTTTCCACATGGGACAAATTCGCACTGTATTTGTCTTCTTTAGCACCTTACTGAGTCACTACTTGCCACAATTCCACTCACATCTTCTTCAACTCTACTACTTCGAAGCTCCCAGCTCACCCCTTCCCAAGCAGGGCACTTCTCTTTCTCCAACGTGGCGTGAATGTCACGCGCTTCCGTGGAGAAACTGGCGGCAGGTGTTTAGACGGCATAGGACGGGAATGTCTACGCGCATGGCGCATGGGTTTGGCGGATCCAGTGTAATAGTGTAAATGGAGATTCCACGTAGACTGTCTCGAATGGTGACTCAAAACATTGCAAGGGCTGCCTGAACCCCCAACGCTGTATCTTTAGGGCTGGGGCGGCATCCACTCATCCACATCACGGCCTACGAGTTTCACGTCGAATTTTCACCATCTAACTTTCCCATCACTGGCGATTGGCCCGGCACTTGGCCCATCGCTGCATCGCTCTGGCCCCGGTCGACGGACGGGCGAGACAGCGTGGTGGGACGGGTGGCACTGCTCGCAGTGCGTGAGCATTCGAGGGGACCCACAAGTAGGCTCAAGGGTCAAGTGATTCGAAGTGATTCTTATTTTTTGTGACTATATATGTCTACATCAGTCTACAGTCATATATGACTGATGCCCACTGTTGGTGGGGTCTCCCTATTCCAACACACACAAAAATGCCTATTCCTTGGTTTGGTGCCACTTGTGGGGTCAGCCACCAGTCCTTGTCTTCGGACTGTGGAGGCTCCAAGCTCCGCTGCAGTCCCCCGTTTCACCCAGTCTCCACCGGGACGGTACGGGCCGGGTGAAGAAAGATGCCGGGCTGGCGACACGGAGAGGTCTTTGTTCGGAGACTGGTCCGTGTAGAGCTTCGCAATGGTCTTGCGCCTCGGGGAGGAGGGTCCCGGAACAAACGCGACGAACAAGCAGAACCGGCTGGGCCGATGGTCGCGTCGGCGGCCGCACTTTCCAACATGTGAGACTCACCTACAACACGTAGGTATACCACAAGACGTTTCCAACGTCCGCGCATTCGTCGCTGTGAAGAGGGATCCTTCGGATCGGACACCATGGACCGGATTGACAGGAACGTGCGCGGTACATCCTGGCATAGAAATGATAAAAAACGCTGGGTAGCAAAGAATCAAAGCGCATCCACCACATGGGAACTTGGTACTTCACCTGTATTTTCGATCCCTAAACATCCCTAAACTATGTATAATGGTACAGGTTTGTGTCCATCGACCCTGAGTCGATGACTCTCTGCTCTTGGAAATACGCTTGCCCCTACACCCCACAAGATTCAGGCAGTGGAGTTGGTGGATCTGCGATGGTTCAGAGTTCAAAGCATGCAACCCAATCAGAGTGGCTGGGTGTTTGGGGTCCATCTAGACCTACCATCGGATGATTTTGGGGAATGGGCATTCCGTCGGGTCAATGCATTCGTTTACTGTTTGGTGGTTGCATGGACCCAACGATGCAGTTCTGGTCATTTCATCAGTTTTTTTCCGGAACATTTTGTTTACTTTGTTCGTGCTTTGACTGTTTTTTTCAAACAACCGTAAGTGGTGGTCGGCAGCGGCCCGGCGATCGTTGAAATTCATGTTTCGAAAAAGACAACACATGATGCTTTCGATGAAGCATATGTAAATCTGATATGTTGAAACTGTTGCATACCATGGGAACTCTGTTAAAACATGTTAAAACAACACACTCTGACACTTGTATTCAGTGACTCAGTTACCACGTTGGGAAAAGGTAAGGGAACGGCAAGGCGCATGAGTCGGCCAAAACAGTATTGTTTAAAAATGTTTCCTCAGTTGCAAGTCTGCAGTTGGCGGCTGGCTGCAAATCACGTTCGGCTGAAAAGTGCGGTGGAAAAATCCGTTGTTTGGGGGAACGTAGCATGAAGAAGGACCATGAATCAAACCGTGGAAAAGTAGGGTGACAGCTTGTGGAAAACTTCGCAGGTACATGGTTGAGCGTCCTCAACCACTTCCCTTCCAGCGACCCAGCTTCGTTGGATCAGGTTAGTCGCTGGAAGCCTGATCCCCCTGCATGTGAAAGTTCGTGGAAAATCGGTGAAGGAGGTGGCGGTGGAAAACCCTTTGTCCAGGGGTGGACACACACAGGTCGCCGTCGTCGGCGCTTTTTCAAAAAACGGTGGCAAGCGTGATGGTTGTGTCCTTTTTGGACATAGAGCCTCACTAGCTCGGC